GGCAGCACACAAAGGAACACTCCGATGCCAGATATCATCTGGTGGGTTCTTTACACGGTCTTAGACTTGCACGTTTGTGTCATCACGATAGCGACGGCTGCCTCATCAGAACTGTTCAGCGCACTTGGGCGACGCACAACCTGCCAAGGAAAGCGCAGAGCAAATGATAGTCTGCACGCCATGTACATGCGCAAGCGCGCGATGAGCATATTTCGATTCAAGATTACTTTAGCCATGTCGTCGATGCACCGCCGTTCAGGGTTGTCGTTCTGAAGAGGCGTACCGGTAAGGCAATCATGCGGCCCATGGGTTACAATATGCATGATGCGTGCGCCACGTTTGCGCAAAGCTCGGGGTAGACTACATCAGATACACACGACGGCGGCGGTATGGTTGTTCGTGAAGAAGTCTCGCGCTCTTCGGACAGGCGGGAGGGTTTCAGATTGACAGCGTGACGATCATACAGGTACCAGCTGCAGGAACCAGGCTCGGTGCAGCAGCCAGGACGGCCGAGCGACCCAAGCCACATGTGAACTCTCCGAGCACCATGCAGGAAGCACGTCGTCTTCTGCCGCTTGGGCGATGAGGGAGGAGGGACCATACGCCGCGGTCAGCCGCTCGAGGCCTTGGTGTCCCACCGTCTAGGTATAGTAAGGTACCTTGCCTTGTTGTGCCCGGAGATTGCTGGTCGACCGCCGACATGCTTTGCTGCGCGTAAGCCGGTAAGCGCTGGGAAGGGAGAGAGCTGCTACTGTATGCAGTGCCGGCATGCCCTGGCCGCTGGAGCAACGTTGCAGGCTAGAGCCCGCCGGATGCTGGCGCGAGTACCGAGTAATAAGGTAAGCTCGAGCGTAGGCCCAGCTATATGCATCCCGACCATCAACCTTATGATCGATCACGTCTGTACATAGCCCCTAGGTGCTCAGAGCGCGGATGTACAGTCAGTGCCGTCGCTCGCTCCATGTTGCTCGGAGGAATCGACCTTCTGGGCTTAGGAAGAGCTGCAGAGACCGTGCCGAATCCGCGCCGAAGCACATGACTACCTACGGTACAGGTTTTAATGATCCAACCCTTTTAAATGAAGGCTGCGCGACAAGTGTTCAGGCCAGAGTGCGGTGGGGTCGGGCGGGGCCTTCGTGAGCGGCACGCTGGCCTCGATGGACGAGTCGATGCCGTTCTGGCCGTGTAGCCAACCGCGGGTGCCACCAGGGCGGGCGTGTAGGTGATGATCACGGGGGGCCCGGGCGGCGATGATGATGAGGGGATGGGAGATTGGGCGCTTCCAGCACAACTAGTCAGTCGCAAATCGCCCGCCAGCCATCATCGGCCCATCCCATGCGGGCTTCACCTTGCCTCGCTCGCGGCCCCACTTCTTGCCGCCTCGTCCCGCCGCCCGCTCCTATTCTGCGTTAGCGTCTGTGCGAGGCGTAGCGCGAAACGAGCTGTCGCTGTCCTGTCGTTTCATCCTGATCTCTAACCACCCGCCGGCTCCCTCAAGTCTCGTCCGCCCTCTTGCAACTTGCGCTTCGCACCACCTTACCTACGACTCCTCTCTACTTTGCCATTGGAAGCGAGCCGGCCTCGCGCACTCTCCCCTTCTACTCCCCTACATATCTGACACAGGCTGCCGCCGCAGCTCTGCTATACCGCCGCTTCAACCCACCACACTCGCTCCGGCGCGCGTACGACCTGGACGTCGTACCAGGCCTCATTCCTCACCGCACATCAACGACATTTCGTTTAGATTGAGGCGTGCCTCTCCTCCAAACACTCGCGCAATCGCTGCACCGCCCGCGACACACTGGCTGCCCCTCATCAACATCACCCCACCATGTACCCGAGTCAACATCAGACCTCGATGCCGCCGCCGCCGCAGCAGCGGCAAGTCGCACCAGAGACCTTCCTCCTCGACCACGATGCGCAACAAAGTCTGCCAGCGGACTCGGTCGTTGCGTTGCAGCAGGTTGACAACCGTACGTGCCAGCGAGCCCGGCGCGCATAGATCAAGCGTGCGCCCTACGACGGCGACGTTCCGCTAACATGCGCTGCAGTCAAATACTTTCTCATTTCTGCGCCAGTTGATTGGAGCCAGGACCAATATATCAGGCGATTTCTGCTACCTACCGGCGAATATGTCTCCTGCGTGCTATGGTGCGTTTGCAGCTGCAGCATCCCCGCGCTACCGTCTCATGTTCGCTGACCAGTCCAGGAACAACCTCTTCCACGTCTCCGGCACCGACATTGTGCGCTGTCTTTCCTTTCGCTTCCAAGCCTTCGGCCGTCCTGTCAAGAACTCGAAAAAGTTCGAGGAGGGTATCTTCTCCGACCTTCGCAATCTGAAGTCCGGCACCGATGCCACGCTCGAAGAGCCGAAGAGCCCGTTCCTCGACTTCCTATACAAGAACAACTGCATTCGAACGCAGAAGAAGCAAAAGGTCTTTTATTGGTATAGCGTGCCTCATGACCGCCTGTTTCTCGATGCTCTGGAGCGTGATCTGAAACGCGAGAAGATGGGCCAAGAGGCTACGACGGTCGCAGTCAACGAGCCAGCGTTGTCTTTTGAGTTTGACTCTTCGCAATCGCTGTTTGAGCAGCTCACGAAGGCCCAGCAGAATAGTCAATCGACCTTCGCCGCGCAGCCGCCGTCATTGCCGCCGTCGCATTCGACCTCGCCTGTGCTGCGGGCCGCCGATTCCATGCCGCCACCACCGCTCATACCACAACATCACATGACTTCGATGCCGCAGACGACTATGCCTCAGACGACAGTCCCACATTACAGTATGCCACCAGTTACGCATGATGAGTCTCCTCTGACACATATGCCAACTTACTCCCAGATGGCCATGCCACCTATGCCGTCGCAAATCCAGAAGACACGTGAAATGTCGGTCAACCCGGTCTTTGATCGCAATGGTGTGCCGTTCTCACAAGTGGGCAACAGGCACAGCTCAATGCCTTCCTACATGGAATACTCACCAGCACCGTCTTTCGTCTCGTCTCACTTTGAGGACTACAGCCAAAGAGGACTGTCCTATGAGCCTCTCACGCCACCACAGCACTCTATGGGCATGGGTTCCGAGCCAGCTTACATCGCTAACGAGGACACCGGCCTTTACACTGCCATCCCGGAGGTGGGCTCTCAGCAGCCGTTCAACCCCCTTATGTCCATCACACCGAATCTTGCTGGTACGCATTTTCCCTCCATGGCGCGCAACTATGCGCCACAGCCGGTCTACTCTGTCTTGGAGGGCTCGCCGACTTACAAGCAGCGACGACGCCGCTCTTCACTGACCCAAGGCGGCGTCGCCATCCCCACAGGCGTCACATCAGCTGGCATGGCCAATGCTCATGCGTCTCATGTCCCGCACGCGCCACACCGGCCGAGCGATCTCAGGCGATCCGTCTCGAACTCGGTCGCGCCGCAGTCCATACCTGAAGCACAGGAAGTCACGACTTATAACGACTCGCCAGCCAGCATGCACACTACTCACCAGTCGAACCCATTGATAGGCGAGCATAAAGAGCTCATGAACCTGTCCAGGCACGGAACGCCTTCGAATACTTTGGAAGGCGCTACCGACGATAACACACCATCCCATGGCCACCCGCAGTCGATGGGCATGGGCCATGTGAACATGGAAGAATTCACGTCTTTCAATCCTAGCCCTAGTCAGCACTACTCTCACACGCCACTCCAACACCATGCCGTGCAGCGCACGGCAAACGGCGTCTTCAGGAGAGCTCGAAGCGCCACCGCAAGCGAGATGGCGCCGTACCCGCAAAAGAGCCACTCCTGCCCCATCCCGATGTGCGGGCGATTGTTCAAGCGCTTGGAACACCTCAAGCGTCATGTTCGGACTCACACCCAAGAACGACCATATCTCTGTAACCTCTGCAACAAGGCCTTCTCACGCTCCGACAATCTGGCGCAGCATAAACGCACACACGAAACAAGCGCGGACGGCAGTGCTCCTTCGGAAGAGGAAATGGAGGAGGAGCGTGACGCCATTGATGGCTTTGCCGAAGACGCAGATGGCGAAGATGGATCGTACCAGCCTATCCCCATGACCACCGGCGTAGACATGCAGGCCGCAGCCATGCCGACCAACGTCAACATGGGCGCTTTTACTCACAGTGACATGGGCCCGCCTCAGCACATGCTGCATACCGGCCACTACCAATAGACGAAGATGGAAGATTTTACGAAATCAGGGCAATAAGCAACTTGCGCCTTCTTCAGCGACAATCTCGACCGACTGCACACTCCCTTTTGCTTACCTGCCTAGGTACTCTTTCTTTCTCGCCAAGCTGGAAGGAGCTGGGCAAGGGCGTCCCGGGGAAGGCAAGGGCGCCTTTTTTATGACTACACGATTGAGCGTTCTGCTATTGTACTACTGCGTGGTTTGCATGGAAACGGGGCCTGGGGGGGTTTCGGTGGTCAAGGCAGGGAAGAGGGTAGGGAAGAGGGATTTGGGAGGGGGGACGCTGTGAACCGCACGAGCGGGTCCAAAGTTGGCAGGTTTTGTTGGAGTCAAGCAAGCGAGGCGAAGGGACGGTGTTTTAGTGTATTATTTGACAGAGCTAGACGGACGGGCATCATCACTAGAACAGATCAAAGCCTGAAAGAGATGTGCTTTTGACATTTCCATCTTTCTTGTGTTCTCTTCACTTTATACGCGAAGAGAGCTACATCGAAAATGTGACACTCAAGCTCCTTGTGTGATGAGCCACTGGAACGATTCCCAAACCTCGTCCAAAGACAAGCACTTCATCCAGTCCTACTTGATGTCCTACTTGATAGAGAAAGTGCAAAAAGAAACATTCTCTTGGCGAGGGTGAGTTCTTATCATTATTGAGCGAGCTGGGCGTGCAGATGCGAGAGCGTGGGCGGACGTTTGTAGCTCCGCTTGGTCCATGAATGGCGGGCGCTAGCGGATGTACGTACATCAAGAGTCCCTGCTCAGCTGCTTGTTGTGAAAGAAGCCAAAAAAGGTAATTGCGGTTCCCCAGAGTCGAACTGAGGACCTCCTCGGAAGCTGCTTCGCCACAACGAGACGTGATGACCACTACACTAGAACCGCGAATTATACATTATTGAAGGCTAACATTGTATATATTGGCCATGTTTTCGCAACGCCCACAGCGAGACCTGATGAACTTCTTGAACAGCACCCGGTGTACTACAAATCTACAGACTTGCAGTACGCAAGACACGGGCCTCGTCGTGATTTGCTTTGCAATCCAGGACGACAAATCTGATCTCCTGGACGACGAGTCACCGTACGTACAAGGGCTTACGCTGAAGCTGCTTGACTCTGATCACGCTATCTCGCCGCATCATCCACATCTGGCCTCGTGCAGATGACTCCAGGCGGCTTCTACATCCTCGTTGATGACACGCGGCAGGCGCTCGTCGGGGACTTGCAAGCTCGATAGGGTGGAGCTTCAACCCATGGATGCAGAACGGCGAGACACGTAGTAGAAGGGACCGACGACCTCCCAGCTCTTCCTTGAGGCTTTCCGAAAGATCTGAAGTATCTCAACTCCCTTCTTGGGCATCTGTGATTCATATGATGGCCCCTGTGTCGTTGTATCTCGCAATTGACCTTTCTTGCATTTCTGGGTCAGTCAGAGGAGGGCAAGGTCGATCGTACTGACGTACGGCTGTCTTGAGCACAGGTCGACAGGCGTGACTTCAACGCTTTACTATTTACTCAGACGACTTGCGATGTTGCATTTGGGGGGAGAATGGGAAATCGATCGCCCGCTTGAGGCGGTGGGCTTTGTCGTACACCTACGAGTTTCGTTATGCCATTCTCACGTTTCTTGTGAACGTGAGGCACTACTCTTTCCATCAGGTTCCGAGTTCAACTACCTAGGCAGTTCTCCTAAAGCCGAAAGTGCCGCTCGCCTTAGCCGGTTGAGTAGTCCGTTCAACATTACGCTGTCGTTGGCAATAGATCTCGCCACATCTCACCCATTCACCTAGTCAACGACTCAACAGGCCTCTGTAAGGCTGTACGGCGTACAGCAGGTGATGGCGCTTGCAGAGCCGGCCAGGGGCCCATAGTCGGAGGTCTTGCGTGGCGGCCTTTGTGTTGTCTCAGACGCCTTTTCTTGCTGGCGGCTTTCCTTCCAAACAACACAGCAGACGCCAGCGAAGCCGATGAGGCGGTGTACTCTGAACAATGGAAGTCGGCTAGGCACGAGTAGCAGGAGTAGAACGCCTTCTAGCGCCACCTTAGCCAGCACCGGTGTATATCGACCCGAACGCCGCGTAGCCCCTTCTCCCACCAGGCTCGTTCTGGACTCTCTCACGACTGACTCACATCTTCAGCGTCGAACCAGGAAGCGGCTACGACTGAATCCGTACGTTCTTCACGCCGAGACGGAGAATTGGGCATCATCCTCGCCTGCTGCCAGCTGCCCCACTGCCAACCGTTGGCTAGCTGCATACCTCAAGCAAGCAAACACGATCGATCCTGCAGGTGCTCGTTGCCCTCTGACAGAACGATAAACGATACTCAGGTGAGGTCCCGTCTGCCTCCGTTCGTCAGCCTTGAGGAGTCCGTAGTATGCACTGCCGGGCAAGTCCGACGCCACTACGATAGACGTGTATTACGAGATAGCAAACCCGCTATATGTCCCGTCCAGCGACCCCCAAACAGCAGTCGTACCAGCACGGCTGAGTCTGACGGGGCAATGTGTACGACGCCGCTCGCCAAAAGGGCACGCGACTCGCGTCCCCTGCCTAGCATTCCGTAGCCTATGGCTGCAATACAAAGTAGTGAGTAGGGCCCGGACGTTCCAGCCCTCCCGTCAACAGCAATACAAGCGGGCCGGCAGCGCAGCCAAAGGTAGCTTGACAGCACATCCATGTCTGCCCAAGCACCTCGCTACCCTTCCGATTCGCCCACCGCACCCGGTCCGTTTGGCCGCGCAGCTTTGTCCTTGGGGGTCCGCTGCTGCAGCGTGGACTGTCACCTGCGGTCCGCAGGGACCGACGTGGCCAAGGTGTGAAGGGTATCTCAAGGTAAAGTAGGTAAACACGGGTGTTATAAGCTGACAGCTACTCTTGCTTATATCTCTGTCCCGTTCACCACTTGCATCGCCCCCCAGAAGAAGCATTGTTACTCCAAAGCCCTTTGATAGATGCCAGCCTCTGCCTCCCAAGCGACTGTCCGGTCTCCAACAAAAGAACCTATCCACTACCCCAACTCCTGCGGTTGACGCCAAAACACAACGACGGCAATCAGGAATATCGGAATGGCGGCCACCAAACCCAAACGATCCCCTCTAACACCCTCAACTGTCACACCACCCTCCCTCAACCGTCAAAACTCTCACAACGCCACTCCCAACACCAGCCCCTCAACTAGCTATGCCTCCGCCGCCCTAGCCAATCTCCGTACCCGGTCCATGTCCCCTTCACGCTTCAGCTTCCGCACCACCCCCAGCCCCGCCACCAGCCCTCGCATCCACCCGCAGCCCAGTTCGTCGCAGCAGCCAGAGCGTCGGACGAGCTGGGAGGACTGTGCGAGGCAGCGGGATGGGTATATTAGTTTCCCGGACTTTGACCTGCTGAGGGCGCAGAGGGCCACGGGGTTTGCTGATCGGCAGTGAGAACTGTTGGTTGGGTTTCTGGTCAGGAGGTCTTTGGATGGCTTACTGTTATGGAGAGGATTCGTTGCTTTAGTGATCGGGCAATGCCTTGTTTTTCGCTGTGGCAGCCGGTCTCTGATGCGAAGACGGCTTGCTTCCGCCGATGTGGTTGTCTGTTCGTCACTCGCGAGAGGAAGGGTACTGCTGGACTGCGAGGTCTGAGACGCTACGGAGTCGTTCTTGTGTACACAATCGCCCAACTCGCCGCCCCGACCGGGAGATGACGGCAGCTTGCACGAGGCCCTACCATACAGTCTACCCTCTTGGCTCATCCCGTCTTCAGGTGGGCAACATGCTGCAACCTCTGCACACTCCCAGACACAGGACCCGCAGCGTGCTTCCAAACTATCTTTCCTAGCTATGGACACCCATACCATGCTCGGACTTCACGCCATGTACCCATGCACCCAGGAGCTCACCAAAGGCAAGCCAACAAGCAGGCAGCACAGCGCTTGAGCGCTTCCCCCGCCTGCAAACAAGCGGCGTCGTTGGCCATCTCCCGCCACCGCCTGGCTGTGTCCGCGTTGCCCTTGGCGTTCATAGGAGGGGAGAGAATCAGAGTGGAGGGCCAGTTTAGAGGAGTGAGCGGGCCGGCATTGCGAGCTGTGTCGTGGGGAGCATATGAGTGACAGCCTTGTGGGCCACGCTGCCGACCGCTTTAAGAGCCAGGGCACGGCGGGGAAGGGGCGTGTGGAAGGGAGAAGGGTCGCAGCGACGTAGCAAAAGAACAGCTGCGGGACTTTGTGTTGGGGTAGGAGGAAGTGCTTCACATACGGGGGTGAGCCGGCTGCTTTTGGTGGGAACGGAAGGGGTTTAGTGGACCTTAATACGACTGTACGTACTTGAAGGCGGCGCGACATGGACGACCACCGTGATAGCTACATGACTTTGCTATCTCATAGTTCTCCTTCTAATCTCTTATCATCGTAGTCGTTCGTCGTAAGTCATCACCAAGAAGACAATTGAAAACAATTCCCATGCGCGGCGGGTATCACAAAAGCACACCAAACCAACATTCACCCTCCCTCCCGCCTCCTCTTCAGCACCGAATGAGCAACACTCCCTCTTCCCCTCCGAAAGCTTAATCGACCCCAGCGACCTCCCTCAGTCGCCCCAGCACCCCTCTCAACCTCTCTGTAAAACCGCCCCATACCTCCCGCCCTTCCTCCCCCGCCTCAAAGACTCCCATCCCGTCGACTCGCTGATGGAACCACACGAACTCCTCGACCGCCGCAACCAGCACGGCCAAACCCTGCTTCCCCTCAGAGTTTCCCGTCCCCGCAAGGCTCTGGTCCACAACCGCGCGGACACGGGCATCAATGCAAAGATTTGCAAGCAGGACAGCGAGGTAGCCGAAAGCGACGTTCGTAGTGGATTCCTCGACGTTCTCAGCATCTTGGACTTTCTGCTGGGCTTGACGGAAAATGGTGAGGAGTGCGTGGAGGACTGGGAGGTTGGATGAGTTGAGAGTGTGCGTGCGGGAGGGCGGAGAGTGCTCGGTGAGGTTTATGGTGAGGCCGAGGGAGAGGACGAGGAGGTCGAGGGTGAGAGCGCGGTGCTGCTGGTCCGTTTCGTTGCCGTCTGGGTTGAGATCCGGGGCGAGCGAGGCGAGGTTGGAGAAGGAGGTTTGGATGGAGGTGAGAAGGTAGTGGACCGTTTCTGATGTGGAGAAGAATGCGCAGTTGCGGGCGTTGTCGTTCGTGAGGTTCAAGGTGAGGCGGAAAGCGAGAAAGAGGGTTTGCGTGGGGAGCTGAGTAGTAGACGAGTGGTCGAGGGTTGGGAGAAGTGCGGCGAGGTGATGTAGAACGGCTTCGGGCCAGGCTAAAGCTAGAGCGGAGGTTGAAAGGGCTTCGAGGAGGGAGATGGCGGTGCTGATTTCGGCCGCGTCGCGGGGTTTGTCGTCGTGGGAGAGGACCTGCTGTAGCTGCTCACCGCGCAGGAACTCGCTCCGATCGCCCATCCGCCTGAGCTTTCCCACCAGCCCATCCAAGGCCTTGAGCGCAAGCAGCCTGGTAGACATCCTTTCCGGCTTCGCCTCGACCCAGAGCGCTTGTAGACTCCGGCCGAATCTCACAAGCGTACCCTGCGCCGTCTTCGCCATATTATTACTTCTCTCCTTAGCCATCTTCTCTACCTCCATATCTCTCCCCAGAAGCCCAGCCAGCCAACGATCCACCGATCCACGCTTCAAAGAAAGCACAGTATGGTCCGGCGGCTCCGCCTCTATTAGCGTCGCAAACGCCGCCGCAAGCGCAAAGTCCGCCACGTCGTCAGGCGCAGCCGTGCATTCTGCGAGAAGATTCTGCTCAAACGCTTGACCCTGAAAGCGCTCTGCGTAGCTCTTTTCCATTAATTTCGTCGCCAGCTCGATAAGTGCGCTCCGACGGCGACTGCGCGCTGTGTTATTGTGGTCAGCCAG